AAATATTGTTGATGCTATAAACCTGTCATATAAAGGTGTATTGTTGACGCTTTTCTAAACACTCATGTTTAATATTTTTTACCGTCATATGGAACTTAATAAAATATAGCATTACCCAGTGTTTGGGAGGCCCGAGGCAAGAAACGAAATAAATCTATATAAAATTATTGTTATATGATATTTTATAGTTAATTTAATTAAAAATGTATTAAATTTTTATTTTCAACTTTTAGACAAAAGATAAATCAATGGTGAACAATGAAACAATAGTATAGTTGGAACTTTTGAAATCCTTACACATAAACATAAATATATATAATATAAATTTTTTGAAGGTCCTTTGTCAAAGAATAGTAGTTAAAGAAAAATGGGGAAAACAAATATTATTAAAAAATGATTTATACTCTTGGCTCTCCTTTAAAGCAATATAATTGGGCAGTCTAGAAATATATATTATGTTTATTTTTATTAATATAATTTTTTTATTAATTTAAGTTTAAATATTTCATTAATTATTTTTATAATTTTATCACATTTGTGTTATTACTATATACACTTGGCTAGTAGTTTGAAAAATATTAACTCAACAAAACTGACGTTTTTAAAAATATTTTATGAATTAATTCTAAAGTGGTATAGATAAATAAGATAAACTGGAGAAAAAGAGTAATAATTATATTAAAATTGAAATATTTAATGAAGAAAAGAAAGAATATTCATTAATCTTTATTTAGAAAACTAATAAAATCATAAGATATTTTATTATTATTAACAAAAGTTATTGAAAAGCAATTGATATCTAGGAATATAACATAATTAAGAAAATGTTTCTTTTAAAAGAAAATGAAATAACATAAATTTATGAAATAGATAATAATATAATAATGATAGAGGTCCACCAATCTCCATCACTCTCCTCTCTAAAGGAGTAGTGACAGCGGGGACCGAATTAAGGATTGACTAAAATTGAAGGACTTTTAGGGAGCTACAATCACCCACTAAAGTGTACAATTTCTCTAAAATTTGAGGAGTTGACTCTAAAACGGTAATTGGGAGCTCCACTATATATGCTCCTAATGTTGGTACTTTAGAGCCAACAATTCTCTCTCTCTCTTGAATAGATGCAGATCTTTCTGTTGGTGGTGTTTTATTCCTTATTAGGTTTTTTTATTTAATTAGAAGATTGCCCAAGACTCATCAAATATGGTCTCTCTCTCTCTCTCTCTCTCTCTCTCTCTCTCTCTCTCTCTCTCTCTCTTGTGAAAAGATGCAGATCTTTCTGTTGGTTGTGTTTTATTCCTTATTTGGTTTTTTTATTTAGTTAGAAGTGTAGCAACAAAATTCTTATCTGCGATTTAGACAAACAAGAAAAACTTGCACAAAGATAATTTATTGAATTAAAATAAAATATTGCGGGGTTACAAAGTCTAATTTAATCCTC